TAAGAATTGGAACAAATATATTTGCTCTTAACAGTACCATTTATTATATATAATGCATATTGTTCTTGAAAAAAATCCTACCTGCAAAATTGAATATTAGGTTCTATGTTAACTATCTCCTCCTCATTTCACTTGCCTTTCTCTTTGCATCAGTAAAATTGGCCTTAGTTTTTATCCAAGCAGTGTTCCTAGTCCCTGGCCCAGCTCATTTCACACTAAAATCCTTCTTATCTACCCCAAATGTAGGAGTTCAGTTTGCCTTTCTTGATTCTCTCAGTTCTTTGTTCCTCTATTTTCATACACCTGGCTGTGATTTGAAATGCTCCAAGTCATTGCATTGTTAATTTTTTCCTAAAGAAGGCTAAAACCAGATGCAACTTTTCATGTGTTATGTGTTTTTGTTTTAGAAATAAAACGGCAATATCAAATTTATATAACCAATTTTTATATTAATAATTATGAATATACTGTGGCCAAAATCCTAAAAATTATATAAAAAATTAAAGTGGTGGTACCAGCTAAGGTATTTAAGTTATTGATAAAATTCTATAGTGAATAATGAACTATTTTTAAGAATATTAAATGTGTTATCAAATAAATATTAAGTATTATATATAATATAAAAGTTTGGGAGGGGAGATAATCTATTAGCATTCTCATATAATGTTGTTAAACAGATTCATCTACATGGGTAAATGCAATTTTTAAAAAAGAGAGTAAGGGCATGGAAGGAAATTGTATTTGTTCAGCAAGTACTACATCTAGGCTCTTTTTATAAGTTTCCCATTTACACATATGATTTTTTCATCTCAGAACATGATTAAGCCCATGAGTAGAATACTTTTTTGAAAGATTTTCATTTTAGGATGGAAGTACTTCATTTCTTTGACCTTTCATAGTTAAGTTTAGCATACCCTAATACTTCTGTATGCAATTTCAGTGTAAGAGACAATGTAATAACTCTTCAAAGGATTAATACAAAGATTCAAATCTTTCTTCTCTACAGATAAATAATGCAAACAATTCATTTAAAAAAATAGCATTATTTACTCCTAAAGTTTGTTGAGTAAGCACTCTGGATATGATTGTGAGAAAGAACTCCATGAGCAACTGAAATTGGCCCTGGACATCATACTTCATGAAAACAAACTGTAACTTTAATAAGCAACTGTAATATGCTATTCTCATATTTTTCAAAATTAAGAAATGGAGATTATTTAATTATTTAAATTAAGAAATGGAGATAATTCTTTCTATTACTTCAGGTGTAGATATTTTTATCAGTGGTTATCTTACCATCATTAAGGATGATGTATGATCCCCAAATAAAAGCACAACAGGATAATGTAGACCCAGGTGACACTAAAACAATTTATCCTATCTTAAAATATCATCTGTTGTCATTGTCTCATAAATGGTAGAAATCAATTTTAATAATATCTAGAATATTTATTATCTAGAACAACAATATAGACAAAATGAAATATATTTTATGTGTGCATCAAAAGAATTGTTTTGTCATGAGTGAAAATAAGTTCCATGGTATAATTTGTCATATTTAGATTTTGTATTCAAGGTAAAGTAATTTGAATTGAGCTTATTCACTAAATGTAAATAAGACAGTACCATTTAAGTGTCACAGATATGAGCAAAATACATCAATGAAGTTTGCAGGTTTTTTTCTTTTAATAAAGCAGAATGTCATGCTAATTCAAAGGCACAAATACATCTTAATTATTTAAAATAAGAAGCATAAAATAAAGGTATGATTATAAAGTTACAATTAATTGTTGGTGCTCAAATAAATAATTTGATTAATAAAATCCTTCTATTTATATAAATGTTTAAATCAAAGCCTAAGATTCATGTAAACTTTGCTGGATCAAATAGTCTTTGAAAAATGTTTTTATAGTTATTAATATTAAAAATAAGGGAAAACTAGAGAAACATTAATGTTAGACATTAGCATCAATAGAATGGCAATAAATCAATCCACAAAAATAATAAATTAATTTTTAGGAGTCACAATTCTAAATTCTTTTGAAGAGCATTGTAAAATATGTTGACACATTAATTTGTGCCAGTTTTAGAAACAGAACATTTATCAAAATGCTGATATTACTATTCTTTCTTATATATTATTGAATATAGATTGTCATTGCCTAATTGCACATAATCTATCAAGAAATACCAGTATTTTTAGGGATATTTTTCTTCTTTGTTTTAATTAGCATAGGGTTCTGATAATTTAACCCTACTTATATTCAGTCAACTCTTTTGACATTTTATACTAACATTTAAGAGTACCCTCAGACAGTAAAAATAACATTTTTACAGTTCTATGGCATGTTTAATCTAGAATAAGAATGAAAAATAAGAACAGATTATTTCAGTTCTACTCTTGTTTTACAATTTACTACACGCATCTCTTATTTGGAAACTTTTACAGATATAGTAAGTTGGAGCATTCCATTGACATGTTATTATTATTATTATTTATTATTATTATTTTAATCACAGTATTGCCTTGCTCCTGCATGGTACAGATTTCAAGGACAAGAGATAAGGACCACTCAGACAACTGAAGCAGTGCACTTGAAACAGTCTGACTAAAATTAGTTTCAAATTAGCTGCTAACCTCAGATCATTACTCCACATTAGTGGCAAGAAATTTAATAGCATATATATGCATATGTGTGTGTATATATATATATATATATATATGTATATATATAAAAGAAATATTTAAGTAAATTGCTTTACATGGAAAGTCCAAAGAAATGCGAGAGACAGCACTTTCAAATTGAAGAAACACAAAAATATTTGTTCTTTATTATGATTTCTCTGCTCTTGAAGTATAGCACAAATATAATAATAGTAAACATGCTAAACTGGTTTCTCAGTTTTCCTAATTCTTTCACCATTATTAGTTTAAAGCCAGCCCTATCCAGGAAAAAAATAGCATTCATGGCTATTGCTTTATGGACATTTTACTAAGCCTGTGAACTTTGCACAAACAAATTCAAGTACTTTAATTAGTTATAGCACATTGGTACAAAAGGGGAAAAAACAGTCAGATAAAGCAAACAGGTGATCAGACAAACATAACTTAAATAGTAACAGTCAAATCTATAAAAAGACCAGTTGGATAATTTCTACTCAAATTCCTAGGTAGGCACAGGAATTCTTTTTCTTCAGAATATGCCAGAAAAAAATACTAAGGGGGAGATTCCTGCACTATAATCCTGTGAATTATGGCAACAACATTGGAGATTTAGTGCACGAACATGCAGACAGACACATTCTGTCCTGCTAATGATTAAAGGTTTGTAAAATTAGTTGGTTGTCTCTCCTGGCCTGACGGTTCTAGCACTTTGTAAATAAAAGTGTTGAGTAGCATTAATATTTCATTGAACATGTTCATCAAATTTTCTCTTTAGAGAGACACATTAAGCAGGTTGTTCTGCACTGTTAAAACTCTCCTCCAATGTTCTATTGGTATGCATTCCCCGACCAGTCAATATTTGAGCTGTAATACCACCTGAAAACACTAAAGATTATGAATGTAATGGGGCCTGAAGAAACCTTTGGCTCTCTAGGGTAACAAATAATCTAAAACTTGCTCCCAACTGGTATGTATATTTATAATCATAAATATATTTATTTTACCATACATATGAGGGAAAATCATGTTTTAGTCTTTTACCTCTGGTAGCTTGCATAGCTTGGAAGTTAATAAGTATTGTATTCTGGTATAGGCCCTAGCAAGTAACATTAGAAAGTTTGTGTTGAATAGCCAAGGAATTTCTTCAACCAAAGTTGTTTATCAAAATCTTAAAATGACTTCTAGCTACAACATCCAGAAGAAGAACAGATAGTGGCAATTCAGGTGTTTATCACTAATACTTTAATGGCATGTTTAAATGTTATTTTCTTCTTTGTTTAACCACTCAGGATTTTAATTTCCATTAGCCGATTACATTTAATGATTGACCCGTAACACTGGGAAAATGAATATTTAAACAAAGATCATCTAAAACAATGGTCAAAAATGTATCTGAGGATATGGTTTGAAGTATTTCAACACTAAGGACTTTTTTTTTGATAAAATTATTTAAAAAGTAAAAGGTAATCACATATCTATAAATATATCAAGACAACATTGATATTGTTACCATTTCAATTTACTTTATTTGAAGCTGAGGGCAGAAATCAGTATTATTTTCACTTGCAATACATTTTCTTGTGTAATCCATTGTGAGTGATTATGGCATATATAAAGAGAGAGATTTACGGAATCTTTCTAATCTAATTTTACACACAACTAGTATTCATTCAAATGGGTGACAGTTTTGATCTGGCACTTCAGTCTATCAAAAATTAACATTGAAGTAGCACTGTAACTATAACTTTAAAAGAATTTTCCAAAATTTCTCTCAATTTTTAATATCTGCTATAGATAATGGCTCCTTCAAGCCCAAGTTCCCTGAAATTCTCCTGATAAAAAGTGTACCCTTTATTAACTGTTTTCATCTTAAACTGAAATCCATGTTAATAATCTGTTTGCCCAAGATAGTATGAAAAACATGCAGGGCTTTCTTATACATTAGCTCACAAAGCTTTTGTTTTCTTTTGTTGATTCTTAAACCCTAATTTGTTGGAGAGGTTGTTGGATGAAATATATAGTCCTAAAGAAACAAAGCACTTTAACTGTATAACAAATTGCAGTATTTCAATCACAGAATCAAATTGATACCCAAGAGTTGGTGCCAGTCAGGTCTCTATATTGAAATTCATAACAAAATAAACAACAACAATAACAACAACAACAAAAGGTAATGGACCATGGGCAGGAATATTTGATCATATGTATATGTGTACAAGCTATTCCAAGCTAGAAGTTTCCCAAGAAATTAAGGTCAATGGAATAGTTTTGGTCATAGGGTCACTGCAATCCAAATGCTCTGTGTAGCATTGTTCAAGCCTTTGTGATCTTGGTGTTATGCTTTGCTGTCGTCTTCTTTTGATTGTATGATGTCATTAGAAACCTTAATTTCTATAGTTTCTGGATTTAAGACTTCTTTTCCATTTTCTTCTTTTAAAGGCAATTTTCTGGAAGGAAATAGAAAAATAATGAACTTCATTTTTTTAAGGCAATTTGAGTGGTATTCCTTGATACTAAATTACTGTCTTACAGAAGGCAGTGTCTATAATTATTAGAAAAAAAGTTAGATTTGTTAAAGTCATATCAAAATGATAGAAAAATAATTAAATAATCAGATAATATTGTCCTTTGTAAAAATGTGATGTACTGCAGAATGATGAATGAAACAATGTATCTGTAGATTTAAATGCATCAAATCATTCACTATAGGGTGGCTTGGATTTGATAACCAGTTATTGATACAGAAAATAGAATGGTTTGGATTCTAAACAAGACAGCATCTTTATATGTCAACTAGATGAGTTACTAGTACCTAAGTTTTTTCAAATAAAAGTCCTTAAGAGTTGCTGCCATGTTCTGTTACATACTTCAAAAGCTGGGTGAATTAGCTATATTCTTTGGAACTTAATGAAAGTATGCATTTCAGGGCTTTCCCACTTTTCTACATTTACTGTAGATGTTTTCTTTAATTAACCTCTTTCACTATTATTTTTTGTTGTTATTTCTGTATCGATTATGAGTACATTTTTTAAGAGTTGTTATCAATTAAAATCTAAAAGGAAAATAAGCTTTCTTTCTTTCTTCCTTTCAGATTTTATTTATTTATTTGAGAGAGCAAGAGCAGGGGAAGGGGAAGAGGAAGAGAGGGAAGCAGACTTCCCACTGAGTGAGGAGTCTGATGCAAGGCTGGATCCCAGGACTCTGGAATCATGACCTGAGCTGAAGGCAGATGCTTAACTGACTGAGCCACCCAGGTACTGCTTTATTTCTTAATGATAGCTTCACAACTCTTACTATGATGACAATGATGCAAGATATGTTTTTTCTACCAGTTTTGAATTCAATAGTTTATGATTACTCCTTATGTACACAGCTTTGGGGTTAAGATTTCCCCCCTCGACAAGATATTTTTTCCACATCAAAAACAAATTCCAGTTTAATTCTGTACTTTAATGTCACCATTTCGTGGGGTAGTGAACGTTACTCTGCCAGTTTCTCCAGAATTTACTTGTAATTTCTTTTCTATTTTTGAATGGGAAGAGCAAGCCATTAAATTCTGAAGATCAAAGCTATTATGTGAAAATTAACCAGTCAAAAGTAAAAGTTTTGGTAAAAGTTACTGTGGTAAAAGTTACTATGACCCATTCCTGGTAATGAAATAGCATCTATTTTGTACCTTATAGGGCATATTCTTTTATGTGTATTATAAATAATGTCTTCACAGTTCTTCCATTCTTCCATTTGGTAAACTTTGATAAAAAAAGGTAAAACCAATGTGTCACCTCTAAGCAGCAAAATATAGAGAAATATAGAGAAATTTAGAGCTTGGATAAAAGGTTATCATGATGCTTAATATATCTCTTACTCGGGCGCCTGGGTGGCTCAGTGGGTTAAAGCCTCTGCCTTCGGCTCAGGTCATGGTCCCAGGGTCCTGGGATCAAGGCCTGCATCGGGCTCTCTGCTCTGCAGGGAGCCTGCTTCCTCCTCTCTCTCTGCCTGCCCCTCTGCCTACTTGTGATGGCTCTCTCTGTCAAATAAATAAATAAAATCTTTAAAATATATATATATATATATATATATCTCTTACTCAAAGAATTATAACACTGGAGTTAACCAGTGTTTTCAAATATTTATTAGATGATGAATTTTTGCATATATAATTTTCACTACTTCAATTTATGTTCAATTGTTTTTTTTAATTACAGTTGATTCTATTATTTTTTGTTGACTTTTTTCTATAATTGAGGGTTGGAGTAGTTATTGATCATCTTTTTTGTTTTGTTTTATTTTTTGCACAATATTGCCCTGTCACATGTAAAGGCATTTTCTTAGCTAGTTTTTTGTTTGGTCTGGTTTTGTTTGCATTTTTGTTTATATATATTAAGTTTATATATGCCTATAGGTAGTTTATATATACCTAGCTCTTGGCTAGTTTTCATATATAAATATATATACACACACACACGCACACACACACACACACACACACACACACACACACACCTCCCTAGTTCTTGGCTAGTTTACATACACACCAACATCTCATTGTAGGTGTTAATCAATAGAAATTTGCTTTATTTACATTTTTAAAAAGATTTTATTTATTTATTTATTTATTTATTTGACATAGAGAGAGAAATCACAAGTAGACAGGGAAGCAGGCAGAGAGAGAGGGGGAAGCATGCCACCTGCTGAGCAGAGAACCCAGGACCCTGAGATCATGACCTGAGCCAAAGGCACAGGCTTAACCCACTGAGCCACCCAGGTACCCCAGTTTTATTTATTTATTTGTTTGTTTGTTTTATTGTGTAAAATTTTGCTTCATTGAAAAGACTTCTAATTTTTGAAGGGAAAACTACAGAACCCACCAGGTAAAAGCTGCCTCTACCAGAGTAAACTTCCATTTAATAGGTAATAATCTCTAAATGGCATGACCTGAGGATTTATATGGAAAATTTAGCCACAGAGTAGTACTTTGTATTTCTCTAAATAGTAATTATTTCGGCCCCTTGAGAGCACATAGCAGGCATTTCTGAAACAAGTTTTTTTCACTTGTGACAACACTTAACCTTCCATTTAGGATGAGAAGCCTAATCAAATTTCTCTGCAAGTGAGTGTATGCTGGTAAAGAAAAAAGGATTCTTAAAGAAACAAATAACAATAAAATTTAGAAGTAATTTTAGTGAACAGTATTTAAAGAAAAATGTTATAGTCATGGTTTTGTTTGTATTCAATATATTCCATAGGATACCATTTTCACTCCTTAATAATGCCTTTGGCTTTAATCATTTTAACTTTCATGTTGCCTGAATATGATCTTTGCACATGTTCATCATCTTTGCAAATTTAGTTGAAATATCTGCTATGGCTATGATGGAGCTCTGATGGGTATAGAAAGAGGTAAATAATATAATCTTGAATGGAGAGCAGACATCATTTCCTATGTGGACATTAAAATGAAAGACAATTTAACAGTATTTCTTCTTCCAAATGAATATTCTTTCCTTTCAAAATAGATTGTGTACATATTCACATTATCAATTTTTATTTTAAATTGTGATATTCCTATTCAGAGTAATGACCAATTTCCTAACCTTTTTTATTTCAATAAAAATCACATTTTGAGGGCACTTGGGTGGCTCAGTCAGTTAACCATCTTGTTTTCAGCTCAGGTCATGATCCCAAGGTCCTGGGATCAAATTCCACATTGGGTTCCCTGCTCAGCAGGGAGCCTGCTGCTACCTCTCCCTCTGTGGCTCCGCCTGCTTGTACTCTCAATCTCTGTCTAATAAATAAATAAAATATTTTTTTAAAAATCCTATTTTGAAAGTATCACTTTCTTTTTTTAAAAAGATTTATTTTTTTAAAGTTTTTGTTTTTGTTTTTGTTTTTGTTTCTTTTTGAGAGAAAGAGAGAGTGCACAGAGTGAGAGAGTACAAGCAGGGCCAGGGCAGAGGGAGAAGCAGATTCCCCACTGAGCAAGGACCTGAAAGCCAGACTCAATCCCAGGACCCTGGGATCATGACCTGGACCAAAGGCAGACGCTTAACCACTGAGCCATCCAGGTTCCCCTTATTTATTTATTTTAGAGAGAGAGAGAGAGAGAGAGAGAGCACGTGTGAGTGGGGGGAGAGGGAAAGGGCAAAGGGAAGGGGAGAGAGAGAGAATCTCAAGCAGACTCCCCATTGAGTACAGAGTCTGAGACAGGGCTCAATCTCATAACCCTGAGGTCCTGAGCTAAACTGAATTCAAGACTCAGAGGCTTAACCTTAATTGACTGACTGTGCACCCCAGATGCCCTGAAAGTATCACTTTCTTAAGAGTAAAATAAATGTAAGAAAATCCAATTCTAACATGTGCCATCTTTTTGACATTTTTTACATAAAATTATAAATGTATGTTTGAACAATAGATTTTCTCTGGCATTGATACAAAATTTTCATGTGGAATGTTTCCCTAGAAAATGGTTTTTGATATTCTCATCTATTTTCTCTGAAAAAGAAACACTTTTCTATAAATAATGTTATTTATAAATATATGCTACAAGTAATGATAAGATGTTATTATTTTATAAATATTTATCCAAAAATAATTAAGCATCTGAAGCTACTTACTCAGGTTCTGTTAGTGGTGTGGTTTCATTTGGCTCATTTACTGGGCTCCCATCCTCATGATTAGTAATTCTTTCATCCTCTGTCCTCATCTCCACTATTGGTTCTTTTGATCCATCTTTCCTAGAAAAATAAACAAACAAAAAACCTTATTCATATAATGTAAAAATGGATGCATTATGAAACATAGTTTAGAATCTTCACTTAACCCCACCTCCCCTCACTAAAAACCCAACATGGTCAGATTAAGAATACCACTAAATTTTTTTTCCCATTAAAATTAATCTCACCCACATAATTTTCACTCAGAAAAAATTAGAAAGGAGAAATTCCATTTATCTAAGATTTTTTTTCATCAAAATTATGTTAATGTTTTGCAGAAGTCCAAATTTTATTTTTTTAGTTTTTTAAAGATTTTATTTATTTATTTGATAGACAGAGATCACAAGTAGGCAGAGAGGCAGGCAGAGAGAGAGAGAGAGAGGAGGAAGCAGGCTCTCTGCTGAGCAGAGAGCCCGATGAGGGGCTTGATCCCAAGACCCTGAGATCATGACCTGAGCCGAAGGCAGAAGCTTTAACCCACTGAACCACTCAGGTGCCCCAAGAAGCCCAAATTTTAAACGTGATCATGCAGTTTACTTTGGGAAATAAATAAAAAATATTATGTTATAGGAAATTATGACATGAAGTAGCTTTTCCCCCAACTAGCCGTATGCTTTAGCTTTTTTAAATTTGAAACACATCAGAAATATTGTTTCTATATTAAAATTTAAAGAAGATAAAATTTATATATATGAGACGTTTCATTGCTTTAAGTGTTTCTATGAATTATACGAATGATTTTAACTATACTGTGATATTGACTTTACATATTCATGTTTTCAAGAAAATAGTTTACATAAAACAATATTATAACATATATGCATGATGTTTTCATTTGTAATTTCAAATCCTTGTCATCATTATTGGATTTTTAAAATATGAGAATAAATATAATTTTACATAATTGTGAAATTTTTGTAAAATTAGAAAGTTTACTGCAAAGTTTCATTCCTTAATAAATGAACAAAAAGAAAGAAAAATAAGGAAAGGATTTAGTGATGATAAAGGATAAAGTGAGATATAAGCATTGAGAGTGATACCCTCATAATACAGATTATAATTAAGGAGCACATACAAAAAAAAAATGTAAGGGAGGGATAGAGGTCCTCACCTACTCAGGTACATAGTCTTACTATACAATCCTGCAACTGTACTCTAACAAATTTCCCAAATGAAATGAAAACTTATGCCCATGTAAAAATCTCCACATTAATGTTTATGGAAGTTTTATTCATAATTGCCCCAAACTGGAACCAAGATGTCCTTCAACAGGTCAATGGATAAATAAACTGTGGTATACCCACACAATTAGATATTATTCAGCAATGAAAAGAAATGAGCCATCAAGCCACAAAAAGACATGGGAGAACTTTAAATGCATATTGCTAAGGAAAATAAGCCAGTCTGAAAAGGCTATGTACTATGTATTTCCAATTACATTGCATTCTGTAAAAAAGCACAGTTACAAAGAAAATAAAAAGATCAATGTTTGCCAGGGGTTCAAGGTGAGGGAAGGAGGTAATGATGGAGCACTGGGCACATCAAATATATTTAGTATTGTAATGATAGATATATGACATTAAAATTAGTTCTTAAAAATCAAGTAAACTAGCAGTACACAACAAAGAAATCAAACAACAAAACCCCAACAATGGCACAGATCTTAAAAATGCTGACTCTGTAGGTCCTTCACGTGCATGCTCATCGAAATCTGGAGTCAGTGTCAGTAGAAATGGAAGAAAATCTAGAACTCTATAATCCAGAATTGGTGGTGAACAACCCTTTATACCTCTAAAATGCAAATATTTGTGAGAACTGGCAATTAGGACATGTTCATCAACCTGAATAGGGACTCCAAGGAAGCAAGATCTCTAGAGTAGTAAAGATAATTAAAGAGCCCGCCACAATTAAATTTTAGTTTGAAGATGTTTTGTTTGCTGTTGTTATTCTGCAATTGATTCTTTTAAACAATTCTTCATAATATCAATGCTATTAATGACATAGATGATGATACTGTTTGGAAAAATGTAGCCATTGATGATTCTGAGCAAAAAAGTGATTCAAAAGGTTGGATTTTATGTTTAATTATATTAACAACAGGTGCAGATCTATGGGTGTGGATTAAACAAAAGAGAATGCAAAAAACAAAGATGGTGGATTTGGATTTCAATTGTATACTCCTTATTGAAAATAATATGTAAGCAAACCACTTTAAACTGGAAATGATAAAATAGATACTACTAAAAGGAAGTTAAAGTGTTATAAGAGAACATGGTGAGTTGTCTTAAAATCCTTATTTTTGTTTTTAGTAATCTTTTACATTTTTAACTAACTGGTCTATTCATATATTATAGAATTCTTCAAAAGATATATAGAGAAAAGTATACCTCCCTGCCATTTCCTGTTTACAGGATATTTAGTTACCTATCATAAAGACAAGGACATTTTCAAATTGTTTTTTCCAGAGACATTCCTTCTATTCATATACCAGCATATATGCATACAAATGCAAGGAGTTATTTTTAAACAAATGGTACATACTGACTGAATATAATTTTGCCTTTTCAATGAACACTAGAATATTTAGAGCTGCCTCTTCTTTTTCATGGCACATACTATCCCATCGTATATATGCACCACCATATATTTGGCCAGTGTCTAACCAACAGACATTTAGGTTGTTTCTAATATCTTCTATTACAATAAATACTACAAGGAGTATTAAATGCATATTTTTTAAAGATTTTATTTATTTATTTGACAGACAGAGATCACAAGTAGGCAAAGAGGCAGGCAGAAAGAGAGAAGGAAGCAGGACCCTGGGATCATGACCTGAGCCGAAAGGAGAGGCTTTAACCCACCAAGCCACCCAGGCGCCCCTGAAATGCGTATTTTACTTGCCCTTAGGTGAAAATATCTGAAGCACACTAATAATTTACATGAGTCTAATTCCCATCCTTTATAAATTATATTTAATCATACTTGAAGTGATATCAGAATTATTACTGATATTTTCTGTGGAATTATAAAAAGCGATAAAACAATATTTTATTTAAATTGTCATAAAAATGTATGCCATGGTTTATGGACAATTCACAATGTATAGACTGGTAAAAACTAGACAAATTCCTGCAGGTTTCTAGAACTGATTATTAGCGAGAAATGACAAGCACAGCAGAATAGTTAAGAGGATATGTCCTGGGACCAAACTAGCTGACTCTCACTAACTCACTGCATAAGCATTTCTCTGTCCTGTTGCCTGGATAGTAAACCAGAGATGATAATGACACCAAGTTAATTTCTACAGTTTTTAGAATAGTGCCTGACATTAATTAAGCAGGACTTTGATTAAGCAGGACATTGATTAAGCAGGACTTAATCAATAACTGTCTTCAGTATTCTAGGAGTGCAAGGAGGCAAGGAGGATTTAGTGTTAGGAAATACATTACTAAAACTTGCAACTCAAATAAATTGAGAGAAAACAAAATGAAAATATCTCAAAGCACATAAGAAATAAGTATTTATAAAATTCATAAGTTTTGAAATAAAAATGGAAAGATTCATATAATTAATGGCATCAAAAGCAAAATTCAAACTTTGGGATAGACTGGGGAAAATATTAGCAACAAATACAACATCAAATAATTAAGGGTCACATTACATAATTAGAAAGTAAGAGAAAAGTTGAATAACTCCATGGACATGTGTGTAGAATACGAACAAGAAATTCCCAGAAGAGGGGCGCCTGGGTGGCTCGGTGGGTTAAAGCCTCTGCCTTCGGCTCAGGTCATGATCCCAGGGTCCGGGGCTTGAGCCCTGCATGGGGCTCTCTGCTCAGTGGGGAGCCTGCTTCTTCTTCTCCCTCTCCCTCTGCCTGCTTCTCTGCCTACTCGTGAGCTCTGTCTGTCAAATAAATAAAATCTTTAAAAAGAAAAAAAAAAAAAAAAAATTCCCAAAAAAAAAAAAGGACCAAAAGGAAAATAAAAAAAAAAATAAGTTCAGAATTTACCTGGATCAGAAAAACGAAAATTTTAAATGGTATCTTTCACTTATTATATTAAGAAATAAAAATAAATTGATAATATTTAATGCTTGAGAAACTATATAGAAATATATATTCTCTGATTTTATTAGGAATATGAATGAGCATAGTGGGCAATTTGTCAGTATTTTTCAATTTTGATTTACATTCCATGTCTAAGAACATAATGTACGTTTACAACAAGATTTATGTAAAAGTTAAATTCAAACCACATATCATACTTTAATACAATAAAATATTGAAAGTTTCACCCAAATTGTCATGAAAGACAAGGATAAATGCATTATGGTATTTGATATTGTGGAATACTAATTTATTCTGTGGATTTTTTTTTTCCATCTTTATTCTCTTTGCTTTTTTGTTTTTTTTAGAGAGAGGTGGGGAGGGCCAGAGAGAGGAAGGGAGAGAGACAATCTTAAGCAAGCTCCATGCCCAGCACAGAGCCCAACATGGGGCTCTTTTTCATGACCTGAGATCATGACCTGACTTGAATTCAAGGATGCTTAACCCACTGAGTCACCCAGGTGCTCCTCTGTTGTCTTTTAAGTTTTGGTATCTTCTATTAAGATCTCTTCAAAGCTCAGAGATTCTTTCTTCAGCCATGTCTACTCTACTAGTAAGATCATCAGGGGCATTCTTCATTTCTATCAGGATCTTTTTGGTCTCTAGCATTTCTTTTGGATTCTTTTCCAGAATTTCCATTTCTCTGCTATATGGCCCATCCCTTCTTGCATGCTGTCCTACAGTGTTCTCACCATATTTATCATATACTTAAAAAAAATCTTGGTCTGGTAATTCCAACATCCCTGCCTTTTTTTGAATCTGGCCCTGATGCTTATCTTACCTTTTGCCTTGAGTATACCTTATAGTTTTTCTTGATATTGGGACATGATGTACAGTTTAGAAGGAACTGCTAAGTATAGGCATTTAGTAATGTGGTGGTAAAGTGGGGTGTGGAGAGAGTGCCTTCAATAGTTCTGTCATTAGGCCTCAGTCATTAGTAAGTCTGAGCCCCTAGACTCTAAACTTTACAATTTCTTCTCAGGATCACTCCTCTGAAGTGAGTCAGGATGGCTGGAGTGGACTGGAGTTATGCATTTGCCTTCCCTCATGTGGCAGTAGAGGAAGCTGGTTTGTATATCTCTCTGTACATTGAAAAGCCAGTTTTTCACACACACACACACACACACACACACACACACACACATGCACATTTCAGCTAGTTACTTTCTATTAGTTTTCAATGTTTTATTTCCTTTACAATCTAAGTCTAACCAGGAAAAATTATTTTTTTACATGTAGCATTTATAACAAAAACTACTTATTTATTCATCCATTTGATTGTTTTTTAACTGATAGGTGTTTCCCAGCAGAATAAAAGCTAGATGATGGAAGGGACTAGTTTGCTTTTCCTCACAGTTATATCTCTGTGGCTTAGAACAGTGCTTGACTATGTAGGTGATCAACAAATATTTATTAGCTCAAAATAATGCTTGGGTGAACAAGAGTATAAGCATAGTTTGATAAAGTAGAAATCATTTACCATTTTTATTAGATAAAAGAGAATGTAAGATAAATGTAAGTTTAATTTAAATTTATAAGAGTCAAATAATGGAATATTCTAGAACTTTACCTGAAAGACATTCTGTATGCCACTGACTTTAATTTCTCTTTTCTGGAACTTGATATTCTTTAAACAAAAGTATTCTAACTGGGTAATTAACATATTATATAATAAATCTGCATAGTCTTGTAATTGTGATAACATGAAAGTACTAGTCTAAGCATACTTCCGATCATGTTTAGAGGCCAGTAGAGATCAATCCATCAAATCAGCTATATTCTATTTCCCATTGTGATTTTATATAATATTTTTGAAAAAAATATGTACAATATTTTCCTAATTCAAACAATGAATTTTTGAAAAAGAGTTGAAAAGTATTTTCCCAAAGCAGGGGAAATGATGATGTAAAAAGTTATGATGGATAACAAACACAGAATGAACTCCATGCTTTCATCTTCCCAAGTCTTTAAGGTTAATTAAACCCAGCAGGACCTACAAACCAAAGTGTTGATGGATAAATTACCAATTAATAGAGTGAAATAAAAATAAATGGCAGAACTTGAATATACCTCATTATTTTGCACATAGTCACCAATATCCCTCCAGTTAATTAAGAGAAAAACATGATTTCTCTTTCTTTCACCCCAAAGTCAAATCAATCAACAGTAGTTGACTCTACCTCAGCTATCTCTAGACTCCATACATTTGTATATGGCCACAGTACTACTACTTTGGTCCAAAAGAAATAATTTTTTACCTGGAGTATTTCAAGATCCTCCCATTCACTCTCTGATTCTAAATCTTTCCTCTACACCTATCAACCTTCCAGTAATTCATTTTTCAAAAGTAGCTAAAGTAATCCTTAAACACTTATTGGGAATGCCCTGGTCATTTAGTCAGTAAGTGTCTGACTTTTGGTTTTGGATTGGGTCATGATCTCAGGTTGTAAGATCAAGGTCTGGATGGAGCCCTGTGCTCAGTGTGGAGTCTCCTTGGGATTCTTTCTCTCTCCCTCACCCTCTGCCCTCTTCCAGCTCTCTCTCTCTCAAATAAATAAAATCAATATATCAATATATACATATATATTTTTTTTCCTCAATTTGTGAAAAAGAAACTAATATTGAGTTTGGTATATATTTATTTAGTTAATAAAACAATGTAAAAGCATGGCAGGTAATTAAAAAGCAGACTTTGTTCTAATGAGGAAAGTAGGAGATACTGGATTATGAATTGATCCCACTCTATTTGCTATGGCACCCATTACTATTCCGTTCAAGTGTGAAGTAGAGCCTGATTTCTGTTTGTTCTTTGTCATGTTCTGTGTCCAAAAAGTAAGTAGGTGGCATGTTGATTGTGAAATGAATCTAATGTTTTTTTGAAATGAAAATGTATGTTACCTAATTTAGCATCCCATGAAGTGAAAATATCCCTTATAAAGAATCCATAAGAAGTAGTCATGGACAAATTGTGTAGTAGGATTGAAATAGGCTTAGAGATATAAACAAAACAAACAAACAAACAAAAAAACCAATGCAGCTTGTAAAGAATAGATTCTCCTATACTGCTAAGCCTAGAAATTAAGGCACGAGGTTCCACATGCCTAAATGTATGTACAGAAAAACAAATAGAAATGACTCAACAATAAAAATAAATGACTTACTGATAAACAGAACACCATGATTGAATCTTAAAACATGACTGAATGAAAGAATTTAGACACAAAAAGAGTAAACATTACAACAATCAATTTCTATCAAGTTCTATAAAGCTAAAAGTTATTTATGATGAAAAAAATCAGGATAATATTTCCCTGGTACAGGGGGAGGAATATGAGTTGTCTGGGTAGAAACATTAGAGAAATTTTAAGGATGATGCTAAGTTTCTGAATTTTGGTAAGGCTTAGGTTATACAGATATGAACATTTGTCAAAACTCATCAAACAGAATATTTTATGCATTTTACTCTATGCAAGTTTTACCTAAAGAAAACATTAACAAATTTTGAACTGTGTAGGGGTTAAGTGTATGGATACCTTTGAAATGCGAAAAGTAAAATAATGGATTGAGGGACAGATAAATATGGGAAAAGAGAAATATAATGAAATATTTTTATAGAATCCAAGTAGTTGATAAATGGTTGTTGACGATAAAATTCTTTTAACTCTTTTGTATGTTTTAGACATGTTACAGAAAGAGTATAGTATTTAAAAAGTAGAGGAAATGTTCTTAATTCTTAAGAATAGTTAATTTTTGGTTATAGGTTTAATATACACACATATGTATATGTATACAAACACACATACACATATACATTGTGTGTTTATATTACGTGTGAGTGCGCATGCTCTCCTGTGCCTTCTTTTTTTTTTCATTGAGGCTATTGTACTTTTGAGATTAGATTAAAATCTAGCAAAACACCACCAAACAAAACAAAAGTATTTAAACCTCCTAGTTGCCCTTTTACATGAGAAAGGACTTTTTCTTTTATTTTTTTTTTACTTTTTTTTTTTTTTAAAGATTTTATTTATTTATTTGTCAGAGAGAGAGAGGGAGAGAGAGCGAGCACAGGCAGACAGAATGGCAGGCAGAGGCAGAGGGAGAAGCAGGCTCCCTGACGAGCAAGGAGCCCGATGTGGGACTCGATCCCAGGACGCTGGGATCATGACCTGAGCCGAAGGCAGCTGCTTAACCAACTGAGCCACCCAGGCGTCCCGAGAAAGGACTTTTCTATAGAATTCAGCTCTATGTATTTTTTTGGAATTCATATTCTAATTGAATGAGATGCCACAGAGAGTGCGAAATTCTAACATATAGTCAGCTTTTGATCAAAATTTGGAAGATTAAGTACAGAATCCATACTAATGTATTGCATAGCTCATACAACATCTCTATACAACCTTGAAACTTCTATGTAGTGATCTCCTGCACTTGAAGGAATTGCCATAATTTACATTTTTACTCAATTTACCCGTTTTTAACTCAGATTACTGCTGGTGTCCTTCTTTTATTCAGTATAAACTGAAAAATGGTAGGAGAAATCATACATACATTTGTACCACTGTCTGTATTTCTATTTTTTTTTCTAATTCTATTTAAATCATAACAGTAATTATTTTTTTGGTGTGGATCCCATTTTTAGATTTATTTCTTAATAGTCTGTTTTCAAAAGCATTTGGCTCTCTAACATGTTATATTTAAGGTCATATAGACTTAAACTCAGCAAGCAGACAGTACAGTGTCCAAGGGTCTTAGAGCCAAGCTCTTTACTCTGCTCAGAAAAAAAGTCCGCGAAGGAAGTATGCAAGCTTGACTATGGCACTCGTTTAATGTAACGCGCTGCGAATGCTACTTACAGGTATGCGGCTTTGCCTTCTTCGAGTTCTTTACTTTTCCCACTAGAGCCACTTTTCTTCCCGCACATTCTCCTCGTGATGCACATCAATAATCCACATTGTCTAATAAAGAAGCAGCTGACGTCCGTTACCACAAGGATTAGCAAGAGAGCCGCCACGCCCAGGCCAATGACTGCTCCAAGCCCAAGACCATTAAAAAGGGTATCTTAAAAAATAAAAGAAAATAATTTTACTAAGCTCCAAATGAGAAAAAAAATAGACAGTTATTTTGAAAATAAATCTTAATGAAAGAGATGGGGAAAAAGTGATAATCACTGGCCCATTTTAATTTCATAATTGTTGGGAACCATTCTCTGGCTTTGAAACAGTATTTTAAGCAACTGACATGTGAATGATTTGCAATATGTTTTTAGACTTCATTTAGAAAAAGAAAAAAAAAAAAAGAAAAATTCTGAAGTAGCTCTCTTTCCAATATCCTTCTTGATTCCCTGAAGGGAAAATAATGAATATTATCACATCCCCAATTGTACTCTATCAGAAAGTCACAACCACTAATGGATCATCACATTGTTAAAAGGAAAATATAGTCAAAACTCCTGTAAGAGAAGATTAAGTAAATGTTCTATATGGAATTATCTTAGCTTTAAGTCTTAAACTTGCAAACTATGTGCGCTCTAAGCACTTTGTTTTGACAGAGAACACATTTTAAAAATCTCTATATTTTGAAATATTTTGAAAATCATCACTTTAGAACAAATGGTTTACTTGCATTTTTTTCAGTTAGTATTTTCATAAATCATATTAGAAGAGAGGCAAACTTTTACAGAACTATGATGCTTATGACCTTTCTGAAGCGTATCATGGGAAGATAGGGGATGATGGGAGTCATTTTTCCTTGACAGGTAGTTGCAAGAACTCCTGCAAGTAATACAGAAATTATCCATGAAAGGGATGACTGGGAGTAGGATGGAATATGCTGACTGACACAGTAGAAATGGCATAAAGGACAGTGGTAGTGAAAATGAATGAAGTGTTTTATAACTATAGTTGAAGGTAAGTGTAGACTACACAGCCACAGCTGTGTTGGCACAAAAATAAGCACCATGGAAAGAGGTTAAACTGGTGATACTGTGTTATCTAGAGGGAAGAAAAAGAATTCTTATAAGACAATTTTAGAGAATGACACCTTTAAAAAAAATTATTTATTTGACAGAGAGTAAGAGTACACCCAAGCAGGGGGAGGGGCAGGCAGAGGGAAAGGGAAAAGCAGGGTTCCTGCCTAGTGGGAAGCCCCACATGAGGCTCCATTCCAGGATTCTGGAATCATGCCTTGAGCTCAAGGTAGATGTTTAACCCACTGAGCCACCCAGGTGCCCCTATTCAAAATGATTCTTAACCCAATTGAGTTAGATTTTGCTTACATAACATTATAAAATTATAATCATTTTTTAATGATAAAATACATTTATTACTTAGCATCATAATAGCATATTAAGTATGTAAAATGTGTGTAATACAAGTGACAGGGAGAGATGTAGACTTCATTTGGAAAAAATCACTTCTGATAAAATACATATGCAAAACAAAGTTTTTCTAAGTTATATTTTTAGAATTCAGTGTAACATTTGAATAATGAAAAGATTGTGATCTGAAGGAATCAGTATAACTTTTTATTTCAAGTCAACAAGCTGGTGCTGAATGATGACACACCTGTCTGAATCTTAGTTGATTTTTCTACCAAATGACTGAACCTCACATCTATATTTGTTTTATTTTTATTCCCAGGAAATACATGTTTTATTTAAAAAAAAAAAAGAATCATTATATCTGTGACATGGTTCCTGGCACTTTCCCAAGGCGACCTTGTGGTTGACCTGTGCTGGAACATGGAGGTGCTTCTGTAGCATCTCCGTGAAGTTGCAGGTGAGAATTCCTTAAGGATCTTATCAACACACTTAAAACTTTCATGCCCAAGCAAATATACTTTTGATTATAATTCTTTTATTTCTGATAAAGAAAAACAGGAAACAAACATGTAATTGTGTTGGAGGAAAATTAGTTTTTTCCTGCCATTCTCAAAATCTCCATTCCCCATCATACATTATCATACTATTTAGGAATATTGCCCAGCTAAGATATATTAGTCCAGCTATAATATTTAGGAATATTGCCCAGCTAAGATCTAGAGAAATTACTAGTTTCCATAGCACTGTTCTCTTATCACATGAACCCACTTTGAGGGAAGACTGGAGACAAAAGTATTTTCCAACCATGGGAATTGTTGTTGTTGTTGTTTTCTGCAAAGTTCCAATATACAAATGGAGAGTGAGAGTCTAAATGTTATTTATCAATTTTCAAAGATATATATATAGGTAAGATTGAAAAAAAAAAAACTAGTGTCTCATGCTATAAAAATAATACATTAAGCAAACCAGGCTTTTAATAATTAAAACAATCATTTTATACATTTTATTCCATTATCCACTTTTAAATAAAAATGATTCTTACCTGAATGTACCATTACAATATAATAAGGACAATTCACCTATGAAATTTCTTTGATTGCATGCAAAGCTAAAAATTTTTTCAAAATCCACAGGAATTCATTTTTATATATTGCACATGATTCAAAAACCAAAGCTCAGAAAAGAGTTGAATTTACAAATCTGATTGTGACTACACCCTCTGGACATATTTACTGAATGACCCTCTGCTTTAAACTACTCACTTCCCTGCTCCTTCACTTAGGTTCCTCTCACATGCAGAATGGTTCTAGGCAATAAATCCCACAGATCAATGATGATCTCCCTGGCCCATTATTAGATCTTCATTTGCTTTCTTATTTTCTTTTCTTTCTTTCTTTCTTTCTTTCTTTCTTTCTTTCTTTCTTTCTTTCTTTCTTTTCTTTCTTCCTTCCTTCCTTCCTTCCTTCCTTCCTTTCTTTCTTTCTTTCTTTCTTTCTCTTTCTTTCTTTCTTTTTTCTTTCTTTCTTTCTTTCTTTCTTTCTTTCTTTCTTTCAATTCAGGCTCCACACCCAACATAGAGCCCAGTGCAGGGCTTGAATTCAGGACCCTGGGATTAAAACCTGAGCTGCCCAGTCACCCCTTTATTTACTTTTTTTTAAGGATGAAGAGAATGGATTTCTACTTGAATGCCCTAAACCTGATGTCCTTGGGTGAGGCTGCTAACTTCTCTAAGACTGAGATGCCACTTTATTAAAATGAGGAAAATTACAGAAACAACAACAATCACAAACTAGATCATGGGGTTTTTTGAAAGACTGCTGTGAATATAAATAATGTACCTAATACCTCTAGCACTTATTGCCCAGCACAGAGTAAAAATCTAACAAGTATTGGCCATATTATTATTGTTGTTGTTGTTGTTATTGCTGCTACTATTATTTTGCTAGTGTAAAATTCTAGGGAAACGAGGTTTTGGTGGAAAAAAAAGACCATCTAAAGTTAAACTAGTCTACAAACATATTTCTTTCATCAGCACTCTAATGTGGGACACTTTCTCTTATTAACCATTGATTAGTCTCTTGGAAATACAGTAATTTTTACTTAGGCTTAGCTAGTTAGCTTTTAAATGATAAATATTTTATTTATGACCTTTTAGCATTAAACCGGTATATTGATCTGTTTCATCTCCATCTTTAGAAAAGCTCTTAGAAACATATTTGTAAAACACCTTATGGTAAAAGAATACTGATACTAAAATAGCTATTACATTTTTTTCTAGGGAAACAAAATTATACCTTTTTAACTCATGATTATAAATGTTGAAGGTAACTTGAAGGTATTTTTATGGAAAATCAAGTATTTCTTGTCATTGCAGAGGATAGAATGTATAGCAAATAGGCTTATGTAATAGATTTGTAATTTTCTTTTGAAAGTTATGGCTTTTTTAAAATTGGTTTAAGAATGTACTTAAATGGTAATATTTTCTAACAGCTCATGAAGTTAGGCTATAATAACAATGAAAGCCAAATTTTCTAATGTTTTTATTTTATTTTTATTTTTTCTGCCACCTATTTACTCTGGTGGGGAAATGAACTTACTTGTCGTTAGCTTTTTCACAAACAAAATCATGACTACATGTAAAATTATATCACTAGGTTTTTGGGGGGGACTAGCAATGATTTATTTTTCAGTAACATACAGAAAATACTTTCTTTTTAAGTTAATTACAGTTTTAATATTTGAAATAATTGAAACTGAACATAGCAATCATTTAAAGGATTTTAAGTTCAACTTTTCTTTTTTAGCTTTCCAGAATATTTACACATATGCTTTACAATATATGATATGTTATGATAATGTTTACAATTCCATTACACAAGAAAACAATGTTATCAGCTCTACTTTACAGATAAGGAAACTGAGGTCCAGAGAGTATAAATTAAGACTATTTGACTTCAGGTTTATATTGTTTATACCTGTGTTAGATGTATTTTGTAGATCATCAAATAATCAAGAGAGGAATAACATAGTAAATAAAATGTGTAGTTTTCTTACAGAAAATGTCCATTTTTCCCCCACACTGTTAGAGGAGGAAGAACTATTTAAATGATGTACAACAATATAAGTCATTTATTTATGTATTCTTGCTATTAGCTCTCTTTTTAGTGATCGTTTTGTATTGTTCTTTGAAAAAGGGGATTTTATATTAGAATTTAATGAAAAATAAGAATTATAAAGTTTAAACATCTATTTTTTGGTATATATTTTATTATTGAAAGCAAATAGGAGAATCAGGCTGACTGAATTTGTATAATTCCCCTCCCACCTGATCTTCTAGCCCATGAAATTTAGAAATTGGCAAGCTGAACTAATACAAGTCTCCAACATTTAAGCAATCATATCCTAAGTGAAATAAATACATAAAATCAAAGCATTAAAAAAGAAAAAAGAACTTCATTCTAAATTTGTCACATGCATATCTTCATGTTTCTGCTATAGAAATTAACTCACAACTAAAACACTGAATTAATTTTCCATGAAATTTATTACATTTGATAATACTAGTTTTTCAAAAATCTGTATGCTATATTCATAAAAGCAGCCTTGCTTTTTTGGCTCCTTAAATAGTTTAGCATTTTATTTATTTATTTTTCCAATGTGTACATATAATCATCTCCAAGTAGATTAACAATGACTTTCAGACTTGGAAAAGTAATAAAAACACGAAGAAAAAAAATTC